TACATCACTAGAAAGGGGTACTTCTCTATGGTATTGCAGGTGCTTGTGGATCAACGTGGGCATTTCACTGACAATAATGCAGGGTGGTCCAGGAAAGTGCATGACACACACATCTTCAGGAACATGGACCTGTACAGAAAGCTCCAAGTAGGGACTTTCTTTCCACACCAGAAGATTCCAGTGGGGAATGTTGAAATGCCCATAGTGATCTTGGGAGACTCAGTGTACCCCTTTACTATCATGGCTCATGAAGCCTTACACAGGAAACCTGGACAGCAGCAAGGAGCTCTTCAACAATAGGCTGAGCAGATGCAGAATGACCATAGAATGTGCCTTTGGCAGACTAAAAGCATGCTGGCACTGCCTTTATGGCAGGTTAGACCTAAATGAGGAAAACATTCCCATGGTCATAGCAGCTGCATGGTGCATGCTGCATAGTATTTGTGAGGTTAAGGGTGAAAAGTTTCCCCCAGGGTGAAGCGCCAAGGCAGATAACCCGGCTTCTGAATTTGAACGGACAGATACCAGGGCTATTAAGAGGGGCACAACAGAGGGCTATTTGACTCAGGGAGGCTTTGAGGCAACATTTTGACAATGAGCACCACCAGTAATGTGTCTTTCTATACAGCACTCTGCCACGTTTTGTTAACATGCACCTTGCATGAAAATTATTATGAGTCCTGATCAGGATTTGTAGTCAGCAAATGATCAAACTGCCACTATGTATTACTATCAGCAGCAACCACCACATGTAGGAGACAAATAAAGACTGATTATATTTCAGAGAGTTTGTTTTTATTAAATACCAATTAACACTCATAAAAAGGCTTGGTGGGAAGGAAGATAACAGTGCAGGCTCTCATAGCTGTGTGTAAATCCAGCTATCTGGGGATGGGGGTGAGCACGCATGTTTTCTACCTGGAGTGTGTTTAGGGACTTCAACATCTCTGTTTGCTCCATCATCATGTGCTCCTGGCCCTTTACAATGCGCTCCCTCACTCTCCTTTCTGTCCTGCCTTTCTATTTTAAATTTGTCCTTCAGGGTCTCCTTCTGTTCTCTTTTTTCAGCCTTTGAGGATTGGAGCACCTCTTGGAACATGTCCTGCTTGCTCTGCCTTCATCGCTTCCTTATCTAGCGGAAGCGCTCCGCTAGTGTGTAGGGGATTCCCCTGAAAGCCACATCTGCAGAAGCACAAGAAACAATACACAAAAGCATGATTGCTAGTTCACACGCAGCATTGAATCATTATGGTAAAATACACCTCTTTTAACATATGAATCACTTTCTCACTGTCCCTTGGCAAGCACACCTCAGTGAACACCCTAAACATGGTGAGTTTGGCTCAAGGTGGGGGGTTGGGTGTTCAAGATGGAGCAGGGGAACGATATAGTAAATCCTGCCATTATTTACACAGGCAGGTGTCACTCTGAAGCCAATATCTCACTCCTGAGTGCATTTTCTGAACACGTGCGGCTTCAGACCCAGTACCTATGCTGCTCGCCTGTGTGAGCTTTGGTCCCTACACAAGTGATTGTTGAGTTGCACGGGAAAGTTTCCTACAATGGGGGAAGGAACAAAAGCAGCTCTACCAAGGAACCTTCAGCAGAGGATTGGCGAATACCTCCAGGAAAGTTTCCTAGAGATCTCTGGAGGATTCCCGTGAAATCTTAGTGTGCATTAACACACTGTTCCACAGCACTGCTTAGCTGTACAGGGGAATGTGGAACACACTCAAACACAGCTAGTCTTGTACATTTTTATTCCTTCACCCACTTCTAGAATATACAAAGCAAAGGACAGCTCTACCTCATATAACCAAGCAGCATCAACTCAAAAAGATCACTTACCAGAGCTCTCCTCTCCTGCATCATGTGCGCTAGACACAGACTGCTGGGACTGGCTAGATCCCTCCGGACTGGAAAAAAGGTCCTGACTCGTTGCACCACCAGACAAATCTGCCATGTGCTCCACATCCTCCTCCAATTTAACCTCCTCATCCACAACTTCGTCCTCGGGGTTGAGTCCACTGTCCACCACCTCCAGCCCTGTAGACATATTCATGGGGTTCTTGGCAGTGGTGGGGAGTGTGTCTGCTGAGGATGGTGTCCAACTCCTTATAGAATGGCAGGTCTTTGGCGCAGCACCAGAACAACGGTTTGCCTCCCTTGCCTTCCAGTACACCTGTCTCAGCTCCTTTATTTTTGCATGACACTGCTGTGTCCAGCTCATAGTCCTTATCCAACAAGCCATGAGAAATCTGATCATAGGTATCAAAGTTCCGCACAGCCTCCTCTCCCCACAGAGCCAGCAGATCCAAGATCTATGTCTACACTATGGACCTTACAGTGGCACAGTTGTACCTCTGCAGCTGCATGGCTGTAAGCTCTCCTGTGTAGCTGCTCTATGCTGGCGGGAGATAACTACCACCGCTTGTTGGGGTGTGGTTTATGCTGGCGGGAGAGCTATGTCGGCGGGAGAGTGTCTCCTGCTGGACATAGCACTGTCCACACTGGCGCTCTTGTTGGTGAAATGTATGTCGGTCAGGGGTGTTTTTTTCAGACCCCTGACCGACAAAAGTTTTGCTAACAAAAGTGTTGGTGTAGACAAAGCCTTAGTTTATAAGCATAGTGATTCCTGAAACAAAAAGATTAAATATTGTCAAAATTTATGCTTCTGATTCTGAAAAATGAACACAGCACTGAAGAGCCCATTCCACTAACTAGAGATCCATATTCTTGTTTGTTCCCATAGACACTAATACACTTACATCAAATTATTTGCATTTTTAGATTTAAGCCTTCTATGAAGCGTTCATCAAACAATCTGAATGTATTAAAAGTATGCTCAGTTAATTGTAAACTAACTGGGCAGGAATGTAGGTCTTGTTAAAATTAACATTCTGGAGTGTTTTCTCTTCTGTAATTTTTTGTTTACAGTTCTCCACCATTTTGATACAACAAACTGTGACACAACCTCCTTCACAACCAGATTTGGGATACAAATCTGGATCTCCAATTTTAAATACTCGAACTCAGATTGACCTGCCACCAGCAACATTTCAGCCTCTTGCTCCTATTCTTGCCTTTGACATTTGTATCTGGGATCAAGCAGCAAAAAGGTCCTATAGCTTCTTTAAATCATATTTTAATTTTCTCTTTGTGTTAGTTCTTTCTTTTTAATTAGATAAAATCAAATTTCTAGAGACTGTGACTTTAGCATTATCTGTTTGTAATCTCTCTAATCCCTCCAAAACCTCCTTAAATTGTTGGTAATTTTAATGCCTGTCCAGAGCATGAAAAATGCATGGTATTATTTTGCTCAAAATCCTCCTGTGCTCAGTGCAAATTTCAGCATATTTAAGGTAGCTGAATGCAAATGCCAGCACACAGTCTTTGGAAATCTGGAGTATCAATGCTCCCTTGTCTGTAAACCAACTGTAAGGCTGATGGTGGTTCTGGAAGAAATTTTGAACTTCTTCAATGTGCTCTACAACTGTTAGGTATTACCTTTTTCAACAAGGTTTAAATAGTATACCAAACACCAGTACCTCAGAATGTTATGATAATTGCACTTAAATTCCCTTTTTTTGTTTTGTTTTATTTTATTGTCTGACCAAATGGCAAAGAACTCGTCATAATTTTCTCAGCATTCTTGAATGGTATCTTCAGCAAACTGGACACAATAGCCTGTGGTTTTGTTTTCAGATGTAGAATCAATTGCATTAAGTAGGAATATTTTTCAAACAGATACTTCTGAATGAAACAGATGATGCACTCCATGAAAGCCTGGAATATGGATTTAAGTTATTACCATGCCTTTATGACTAATCCCATGAAAAAAGTCACACATGATCCTTTGTGTTCTGCTCTTCCACTGAAATGGCATTTTATGCAGTGGCACATCTGATCTAGAAAATAATAAGTAAATTAAATTTTCTTCACTTTTTTGAGATTCTCTGTTGCTGCTGAACAATGCTAGATAACAATGGGGTTACCAGACAGCAAGTGTAAAAAATCAGGACGGCGTGGGGGGTAATAGGTGCCTATATAAGAAAAAGCCCCCAAAATCGGGACTGTCCCTATAAAATCGGGACATCTGGTCACCCTAGATAACATTTACATTTTATTTTAAAATAAAATATCTATATTTTCACCCATTCTATTATTTACTTCCTACCACTAACTTTAGGCACATTAAATCAGATAAATTCTCATTGTGATATCTGGCAATCACTAAAGTCTCTTTTGCAGTATTAATCAGTAGCTTTAATATTTACTGGTTAGACTGAGAAACAGCTATCTTCAAACACATTGAAGACTGAAAAATAAGACATTATCACATGTCCTGCCCACCCTCTTGAATGTTCACAAGTCTAGCGAACCAAGTCCCTTAAAAACATCACAACTCCCCTCATTTCTCTCTTCAATATCCTATGGCAGTTAATTTCACTCATTAACCTTGGCCATTTCTCCAAACAAATGACTCCACCTATTCTACTTTTCCTCTAGGGTTTTAAGACAGTTCTGCAGTTTTTACATGGTTTCCCAACAGACACAAGAAGAACCTTGATGTTCCTGTCATTTGTCTCTATTTTAAAAAGTTAAGTGGATTCATTCAAAGATTGAAATTAAAGTGTAATGTTTCTAGTCTCTAAAAAAAACCTTTCAAATATGTTCATGTAAGTATTTGAGTGACACAAGTTAAAAAAAATGGAAAAACCTAAAAATAATTTTTTTCTGGAAAGACAGTCTCCCCAAGCCCTGTGTTATTCATCAACCTGGATCTGAGGCTTCTGAGAAGTAGAATCAGTTGTCACTGTAGAAATAAAGTGACCCCTTTATTTCTATATAAATGTTTAACAATGGAACTGACAGGATTGTGTTTTTAAACTCATCACAGATGCTAGCAGACACAGCACTTCCCCCCTTGCTACTACGGTGGTGAGAAACAATTTCAGCAAATGACACTCAAAAATAATAGGGTGGAAGAGCCCAGTACATGAAAGAAATATACAGTACAACTTTTACTTGTTGCAGTGGTTAAACAAATTTACATGCAAATTTAAATTAAAACAGATCACTTTTGATTATATTTCCAAATCTATTTTATACAAATGTGCTGGCCCATTAGATCTAAAAGAAGGGTTCACCTGTGGGAGATAGGAACTCAAAGAACTCTACAAGTAACACTTTGAAATTACAGTAGCTTTAATCCAAAGATCTCAATATACTTTTACAAACATGAATTAAAGCTACACAATCCCTTTATATGTAGGCATCATTAAACATAAATCTATTTCCATGCCAAAAACTGCATTCAGATAGTTGTTTTTTAATACAGTCATTAATTCGAAACATAATTGGAATGTTGTAGTTAAACAAACAATTGTTTGAAAGTCAGAAAATTTGGATTTGATGTTAAAAATAAACAATTTGAAAAATTAGAATTAATACTTCACTGATAGCTCTAAAATCATGTGTCAGGTCGTCTGGAAATTCTTAAGGTTCCAATTCAAAATAGAACTCTGCCCCATTGCCTTCACTTTCCAATACGAGAACTCCACTAGCCTCAACATGAAAGAGAGACACAGTTTCACTGTTTTTCACGGTTAGATCTCAGAGCTCTTGTGCAGTTTAGTAGGGCACAACTTCTAAGCAGCTCCACAGGGAACGAGCTTCAGTCCTGTGGAGCATCTAACCTTTTCACAATAGAAGTTGCAGAGTTAGCAGTTTTGGGTTTGCCTGCCAATCTAATATGTTGTATGCAGTGTAATTGTTGCCATGTTGGTCCCAGGATATTAAAGAAACAAGATGGGTGGGGTAATATTTTGTATTACACTAAGGCTATGTCTATACTGCACACCTTTCGGTGGGACAACTGTGCCATTGTAAGGTATGCAATGTACCTGCTCTTTGTCGGCAGGAGAGAGCTCTTCTGCTGACAAAATAAAGCCAACTCCAATGTGGGGCTTTGTCGGAGGTAGAGCGTCTCTCAACAATAAAGTGCTGTCCACACTGGCACTTTTCGTCAGTAAAACTTTTGTCGGTTGGGGTGGTTTTTTTTTTTCACACCCTGACCGACAAAACTGCAGTGTAGACATAGCCTAACTTCTGTTGGTGAGAGAGAGAAACTTTCAAGCTACACAGAGCTCTTCTTCAGGTCTGGGAAAGATACTCCGAGTACCACAGGTAAATGCAGAGTGGAACAGATGTGTTTCTCTCATGTGGCCACCAGGTTTTTCTGCAGCCATGACAGCCTCCTGGGCTGAGATGGGGGAAGGGGCAAAGCAGTGTCCCCTCTCTGCAATGCCCAGGGACTCTGGGGGAGGGCTTCAGCCCCCCCCCCCAATCTTCAACTGCAGGACTACAGGGGTGGGCTTCAGCCCCCCTCCCCTGTTTCAGCCAGAGGCTCCAGCAGCAGGTTTCACCCTCCCCCTCCACCGCTTCAGCTGCGGGACTCTGGGGGTGAGCTTTGACTCCTCCCTTGCTTCAGCTGCAGGGCTCTGGGGGTGGGTTTCAGCTGCAGGGCTCTGGGGGTGGGCTCATTTTTTAAAGCGTTGTGGCAGTTTCCTTTGAGGTTTTCAAAAGACAAGCCTGGGAGCTAAATTTCATAATTCTGCTAGACACTAAAATTCATGGACTGAATGGACACAATGGACTTAGGGCTTATTACAAATATCTGCAACCCACAACCCTCCCCTCCTTTTTGTCCTATGACTGCAGAGGTGTTAAGGGCCACTCTACCCTGAACAATCCCTTAGAATACATGCTAAACTACTTGTGTTAAACAATCTATGGCTGCTAGGTATCTGGTGTTCCACAACTCCAGTTGAAAAGGGGACCTGGCAGTGTCTGGTCAGATGTACTGGTGGGGGGGGGGGGAAGAGGGGAGGGGAAGGGGAAGAGAGAGGCAACAGGTCATAAACCTGCACTACCCCTGCTCAGCTGGGGCCACCTCAGACCTGCATCTCCTGAGCAGGAGGCAGCAGGCGCTGACTGGAGGGAGCCCTGCTGGTGGGGGAGGGAGGTGGAGAGGATCCAGCAAGGAGGAAGGGAAAGCAGAGAATGACAGGGGGAGAAGGGAAGGAAGAGGAGCGAGCCAAGGAAGAAGCAGAGCAGGAGTTGGGGCCTTGGGGGAAGAGGCAGGGCAGCGGGTCTGGTTTGCAGGCCTTAGAAAGTTGGCAATCCTAAAACAATCTGTTCCACCCTGCATTTATCTGTGGTGCTCAGAGTATCTTTTCCAGACCTGAAGAAGAGCTCTGTCTGGCTTGAAAGCTCTCTCTCTCTCTCCAACAGAAGTAAGTCAATAAAAGATATTATCTCAACCACTGTGTCTTGCTAATCTAATCATATAATCAAATAATTTCTAATTATGGGAGCTGGTATGAAGATAGGCTTTCGAGCCTGGCAGTTTGGCTCTCTCAATTATCCAAAACTCCAACTATCTGAAGGCTTCAGAATATTTAACAAGGAGAATCCCTATACCCAATTCATGTGTTCTGCTATAAATGAAATGAGCTGTACTAATTACCTCTCACCCCATCCCCACACTCCTAGTTAATTTAGGAAGTTAATTTGAGCAACCTTTACTAACAACCCAATCACTAAAAATCAGAACAATTGCTAGTTAAGCCAGTATCAACAGCCACAGCATCTTCAACTTCAACATTACCCAAACATTAGAGTACTCAAGCATAACAACAAATTCCAGAGATGTACAGCAGACACCTTTTCAATTCCACCACAGAATCACGCCACAATGCACACATCCAGTATCTCACAATTACATTGAAACGCAAAACCTTAACTCCCTTCAGACAACGATATATTTCTTATGGGCATGCATGTAGTGAAAAAGTCTGTGATGTGTTATTTGTAAATTAACAAATATGAGGTTGAGGTTAGGGCTTTGCATTTGAGTGCTTGGGGCTAGGGGAAGCAGGGCTGTATGAGGAAGGTCACAGAGGGGGGATGAGAGTTGTCCAGAGGCATTCATGGCTTGGTGTGGGCTGTGTGTGTATTGTATTAGAGAAACAGGAGTGAGCCCATGGAGAAAGCAGGGTGCATGTGATGGGGAGGATGTAGAAAATATTTTGGGAAGTCATAGGGGGAGTAGGAATAAATAGGGGAGGTTCAGAGGGAGAGTGGATGTGTGTGACACAGACCATCTCATGGAAGAAACTGTGGAGTTTCTGCTGAGGGAGGAAATATGCCAGGGAAGAAAAAGCTGGAGAGAAGCTGCACTCCAACAAGCTCCTATGATTCACCAGAGGATCACTCTTTTCCCTAAAGCTCCTCTCCAGACTCATTTCTTCCCTTCTTAGGTGAGCACAAAGCCGTGTGAGGGAAAATGGATTAGGAAGCAGAGATGAAAGATAAGGTATAGAGATTGGCAGGGATGGGGAACAGGACCTGGCAGCAGGGGTTGAGATCAGGTGGGCACTGGGGCCAGAGTGAGACACAGATTTAATTTTGTTTTTGGGGGAAGATTCCTTGTTCCTTCCTCTTGCAATCAGGCAAATTTGCAACCACTCAAATGCCAACATCCACCACTGTTCCCAACAAATGAGGAATAAACACATTAACTGGATGTTTCTGCAAAGATGACAGGCAGCAAAACAGGTAGCTTTGACACTTACATTGTCATAACTATATTTCAGACTTAACACTCCTCAAAATAGATGGCAATTCGTTCCCTTGGGCTATTGTTTCAGATTACCAGCACACTCTTGTGGACACCACATTAGTTACATTCAGAAGATTGTCTTTTGGTTGCAATGGAATAGACGTTTAATTTTTTAAATATTTAAGCTACCAGTGAGAAGCTAAATTCTGTAACAAGACATGGATCCAGAGGCCAATTCCACAATGGTAAATATGGGACGACCTTGAGTGTTTTAATGATTTCTCCAAGAACTATTGTATCCTTGAACACTTAAAACTGAGATAAAACCAAGACCAAAATCAGAATTGCTGCTGTAATTTGTAATACATTCTTAAACAAACCAAAAAAATCTTCCAATCCAGCAATGTCCTACTTCTTATCCAAAATTGATTCACCAGTCTTTTAGTTCTGATGGCATTGAATAAACATCCTGAAATATAAATTATAATTTGTGACATGAACAACCATTACCAGAACTCATAATGGCACATTTCTATAATTATCAATGTATAGTGCTTTAAAAGCAAAGGATACTGCTTAGTCCAAGTTTTACAATAAATTATCAGATGTATTATGTATGCAAACTCATAAGCTAACAGCTAGAGAAACTAAGTGTTAATGGCAAAGTTAGAAATACCAAACTACTAGCATTGTCCCAATGTCTTCTTATTGACAATATTACATTGCACAACAATAGTGTACCCAGACAACCTATAAGAAATTGAATACACTGTCACAGTCTATGTATCAATTCATATAAAATACTACAAATTGATAGGTAATTGCAATTGTTATTCTATAATAAAAAGTTACAATTTATTTTAAAAAATACAGCCAAAATAGAATTTACAATTTTAGTCAGGTTTCAAGACATTTACAGTAGCTTTTATACAACAGCAAGACAATCACTGCGACATTCTGATGCTTATATTAAAACTGAACTACCAGTAAGATGTAGATGTGGGATGGAATGAGCAAACAAATGACTTTCAGAGACACTGAAGAGAGGGGACACAGAACAAATGTACTAAGAGGAGAGGATTGGTTTGTAATGCAGTTGACATTACAATGAAGTTCTTTTGAAACTATTCAAAATGTAACTATAAGCTGTACCAGGAAATATACCAGTAAGAAACATAATCTAGCACACTGTACAATAAATATTTTTAAGAAAAAATTATTTTGAACTACTCAGTTCATTATTTAGAACAGTGCTCCCATCTTTAATTGAAATGTACAAAACTATTCACTTTTCCATTCAAACTGTTTATACTAAAAATCAATTTTTTCCTTAAATCAAAAGTTATAAACCTGTTGCAAATAATTTTATCCTTCAACTGGCAAAGAGGCCATTCTTTATTGTCTGGTAAAGACCATAGGTTGACAAGTCTTGACTAGATGCAAACTAGTTAGATTGGCGAAGACTGAATGCTGAAAATAAATAAAGTAGGTGTTGTAGGGGACATCCCCCAAAAACTTGTCAAGCTAGAGAATTTTTAAAAATACCTTTAATGCCCATGATGTAGTAATTTTCAGAGTTTAATTTTCAGTAGTAGGTCAACTGATGTTACCAGACTGTAACGAAATAGGAAAGAAATTGGCCAGCCTTCTATCCAACATCAACATAGCTCAGAAAAATTTAACTGACGACAGCAGAAGCTATTCAACAGAATGAATCCGAAAACAATCAGAATGGCAATGATGTGAGAATCTGTGGACACTGTTGATCAGAAAAATGTGTCTGTTTAGACAAAAAAGTTATGGGCTTGAGCTGAAACTCATTAAAGCTGGTACATTTATCTGAGCAGCAGTAAACTTCAAAGCAAGCTTCACTCCTTAAAAAAGCCCATAAGACACCAAAGTGCAATAATAACTGCAACAGTTAAAATAAATGCTGGTAAATGAACAAAATGAATATAAAAATAAAAATCCCTTAATTCAGTTATCTGTTTTATTGTTTAAGATTACCCCTACTAAGAAAACTCAGCTCCTGATCAGAAGCATGAATTTATATTACAAGAAGTGAAAAGATTTATTCAAACCTTGGGGAAGGGAGAGAATGTGGTGAAGAGAACAGAAGAACCTGCATTATAGGGCCTCAGGTCATGATAAATAGAAGAATGATGGCCCACCAGGCACAGAACAACGTGTACTCTAGGCTCAATCAGTACTAGAAACTTATTTAGTTAGAAAAATACAACAGAAATCTGATATAGTAATAAACTATTTTGGAAAATAGTTTATTCTTAGTCAGTTTCCCACTGTATAATACAAATAGCTAGTATCTGCCAATACACAACACTAGAACATATTAAACTCTTGACATCCAGAATAGCATCAATCTTATTGCCAATAATGGAGGTGGACTATGATCTGCTGCATCGAGGTATCAACAGAATATTAAAAAAAATCTGCGTGCTTTCTATTATTTCCCTGCCCTTTTCATGGTACCAACTGCTTCATAAAACAAGAACTTCAGCTCTTTTCAAAGTAGCTGAAAGAAAAATGAAGTTGATTACAAAGGTCTCACTTCAATTGAAATATTTTTACCTTTTTACGATTTCTGACCATCATGTTCCATTGTATCAGTGAGAATGAATTATAGCAAAACACTGAAAACACAACTCAGAGAAGAAGGTTAATTTATTTTTTTCTAAAATTAAGTAGTGACACCTTAATTCAGTCAACACTCTTCTTCACCAGGCTGGATTTTCCTATTCGTTTTGGACTTCATAAACAAAATTCCAGGTTCATCTATCTACAAAAATACAGTGGATAATTTTTGATTTTCATTAAATGCCAGATAATTTACAAGTCCTTGAAAACCAGATGAAAAAAGGAAGTCATCCTGTATCCCTCAAGACACTCTGCAGCATTTCACAAATGTACTGGAAAGGAGGAATTTTAGCCTTCTTTAAATTTTTAAAAGTTGCCGGGGAAGGCTTCTTGCCATCTCTTGGAGACAGTATGCCATGACTGCCATGGTGATGTACATTTACGTCACCACGGCATAGAATCCTTGTTTTCCACCTTTATACAGAATGACCAATAATTTGAGAGTTGTAGTCTGCTGTCTCCATTCTTAGGATATATGGGATGATGCTGTCAATCTGAACATTTCCAATCAGTCCTGCAAAGAACAACTCTTCTGTGATGGTGGCACTCATCAGTCTGAGGGCAGGCAATCGGAGAAGAAGCCTAGATAGCCTGAAAAACAGGTTTGGCAAAAGAGAATGATAGTTTAGTAGGCAAAGTGAGGCTTCCTTTTGATGTTATCCAGTTATCAATAAGAAAAAAAAATTACAAAAGGATTACACTTTTGGTCATGGTTCAATAAAAGCTCAACTCTTAGGAGGTCTAGTATTAAGCTTTTGTAGGTATGGAGGACAGATCAAGTTTTAAATTAATCAATTTATAATAAATTAATATTTAATTTATAACCAGTCACATCTTTGACATTAGCGCAAACAGATATTAATAGGCATTTCAATATATGTAGCTTGCACAACCTGCTAAGGCCTGCAGCAGGCAAAAAAAACCAAACAAATGGAAGACCTGGCTTCAAAGAGTCAGGTAAGTACAATTTAAAAAAATTAAATACATTTTCATAAAGTTTAACTTTTATTTTGAAAATTATTGGACGTAACAATAAAGTCATACACATATAGTGACTAAGAGTGGGACTAAGGTTTTTCAACACTTTTCACTTAATTGATTCTCACATTTCTTAAAATGAAATACTTCTCAAATCAAAGTAACTGAAGCTCTGAAGAAAATAAACGAAAGAAAAATCAAGCATGTGATGTATATACACCGCTACCTCGATATAACGCGACCCGATATAACACGAATTTGGATAGAACGCGGTAAAGCAGTGCTCCGGGGGGGCAGGGCTGCGCACTCCGGTGGATCAAAGCAAGTTCAATATAACGCAATTTCACCTATAACGCGGTAAGATTTTTTGGCTCCCGAGGACAGCGTTATATCGAGGTAGAGGTGTAATTTACATACCTGTAGGTATCATCTGGATATGCTTTTGTTACATAATCTTGGAACTCCATGTAAGCCTTTTCTTGAAACTTTTCAATCTGTATCACATTTTCTAGACCTGGGTGATCTGAAACACAATTTATATGGTTATACCTGCTCTGGATAAGATGCACAAAACAAAAACAACAAAGCCCAGCTGGAGCAACCATCCAATTAATTACTTTGCTACTGTAGCAACTTCTGGGTGTTTTCTGACAATTTTGATGCTGGGCACCTCCCCTTATTTGGATTCTTTTCTTAGATGACAGAGATCTATTTCATTTAAGTTGCTCAGATGAATATATTAAACTGCTCTAGTAGTCCAAGCAAATGCAGTTCTCACCACGTGTATAACTATTTACATAATCTCATTCACATTTGATCTTGACTCCAGTTACTGTGTTGCAACCGAACATAGCAGCATTATTCTGATGTTGACAGTTCATTGGAGGGTTGTGTGCTTAAACATTACAGGGAGTCTAGCTGCCATTCCAGACTCCATTTTCTTTACTTTATTTCTTCTCTGAAACTGCTGGAGCTAATTGCCCCCCAGTCCCTCTCCCCCTTCTGCAGACCAATTCCTCCCAGCCCACTGTCTGCTCCCCGCACTGGTTCAGCTCTGCACACTTGAAGGGTGGCCAGTTCCCCCCGAACCTGAGTCAGTGCTGATGCCTTGTCCGGTGAACTTGGCATGCTGTGCGCTTTCTGCGTCCCTTGCCCTGTGCCTGCGATTCATCTGCAGCTACCTCCTGCCTCCGAGGTCAGTGCAGCACAGCTGCATGCCCCGCTCCTGTCAGCCGCTGTTGCCTCACTTTCCTGTGCATGCTGTGGAGTGAGGTGACAGCAGCCAGCACAAGTAGGGCACACAGCCACCACTGCACCAACCCCACAGGCAGGAAGAGGTGATCGGAGATGACCTGAGCCAACCCAGAGAGCATCAGGTTGTTTTTATACCCAGTCTGAACCCGACACTTGTAATCAGGTGCCATCAGGTTCGGATTGGATTGGAAGGTGCTACAATTCCCTCAAACCCAATATTTCATAGATCAATGGTATAAACATCCTTTCCTGTCTAATAATCCCTCAATTTCTTAACTCCATAAGCCATCTATAAAGCATGGTTCCAAAGTAAAGAGCAGAAGGGAAGGTCAAGTGTGATTGCGTAGAGGAAACGTGTTTTGAGAACAGGAGTTACTGCTGGAAGTAACTTCTTTTTTCTCCTTCATGACATTACTTTCAGAGCCCAACTATAGGAGGTTAGCTAGTAATGATATCCCTAAAAAGGCAGGCTGAGGCACTCTGCTAGTTCAACAATGACTAAAGCACTGCCCTGCTGATACTAACGTGTATTCTTGATACCATGTGGAAAGAAAAGCCATTTGTGAACATATGAATTGAACTCCATGTAGCAGCCATACAGATTTCAGATAGGGGCATATTGTAATACATTCCCACTGAAGCTGCCATCCCACTAGGTCAGTTAGCCTTGAGACACTGAAGGCACAAACATCAGCTAGTTCATAACTTGACTGGTTGAACATTCCTTTCCAGTTAGAAAAGACTTCCAGGGATACTTCTGAATACACAAGTGTGAGGAGAAAGTAACTGGAAACACACAGGAAACTAGGTCAAGCCTTTGACATTTGAGCAAACTTTTAAAACCTGTTCCACTTTACAGTGTAAAGCTTCCTAGTGAAATGTTTTCTAGACTCCCACTGCCTTGATCTCTTCAGACAAGGACAAAACATCCTGTCCTAAAACCTAGCAGTCATGCTGTCAAGTAAAGGCTGCTGAGGCATCTTTGCATCACCTTGTTGCTGTGTTGGAGCAAGATATATCAACACAGGGAGAGTGAATGAATAATTTTTGGATAGAGAAGCAAGTCTACCACAAGGCATAAACTATCCCTCTGTAAGACTAGGCTCTTATGAGCCAGTTGTGCCCATAGGAAGACTTCTGATGAGTCAGATGAGTTGCAGATACCATCAAGCACTTGGTGAATACCATGGGGGCAATTGCTGAACCTCTCACAAAACTGAGGTACTTCTTGTGGTTATCTGAATGTAAAAGCAAGCATATTAAATATCAAGGGCACAAATCAGCCTTGAAGTTCTTGAGCAAGGATTATGCTCCCTTGAGAAAACAGATAATTTTACTGTCCTTCGGTATCTGTTCAATATAAGGAGCTCAAAATAGGGTAGGCCTTTACTTTTGGAACTTCTTTCTGGTACCTTTCTTCCAGTGTGCCTTCCACTTCCAATATGTCCTTTTCTCCCACTAGTTTTTCATGAGAGGGATTAAAAAAAAAAGGAAATAGAAGGTAGACCAAGTTTTGTCACGCTATGAATTCCAAGGAGTACCCCCCCTTTCAATGATCTTTAGGACTCAGCTACATGAAGAAATGGCCTGTCATGCCTGTAAATATTGGAACAAAGAATCCTAAAAGACTGGGGTAGAAGAGGAAGAAGGAGGAGGACTTGGGTCCCCTGAAACTCACCCAGGGCTCTCTGGCACATCCTCAAACTTGCTGCTTACATGCAGCGCCACCAGTAGATGAAACTTCTGAGGCAGAAAAGAACACCTTTTCTCTCTTCTGAAAACAAAAGGGCTTCCCAGATTGTCTCTGTGTTTGCTGGTACCACCATTCCTGAGCCCGAAATATCTCTTCAACATGACAGCCATAGCCGAAGACCTGGCTGTAGTGTCCATGATATCAAATGAAGCCTCGAGAGAATTTTTGGACAACTAGCCTTTCTGGTATAAGACCAGAAATTCCTTGGTTTGGGGAACATACTGGGTCCAAGTAACAGCTCTGGACTAGAACAAAACATCTTATCTGGCCATAACTCTAGTAATTTGGTCTCTCTGTGCCCATGTTTTGATGACACTGTCCCAGCTCTAGATTTGTCATTTACAGCAGAATTCACAACTGGCCCAGAGTAAAATATTGGAAAAATAATTGACACCCACACTGGTAACCTGGTATAAGGAATCTGGCTTCCTTGAGGCAGAAGCAGCAGAGGAAGAGTGATTCCAGACCTCTTTAACCAGCTCATTGACAAGGAGGACTGTTTTTTTCTCTTTGTACTCCAGGATTTCAAAAAATTTATGTGGCTTGTTAGACAAAACTACCAGTGGAATACCGATATCACAGCCATTCTACCCACCAAATCCTGAAAGGCCTTGGCATAACTTACAGAAGAGGAATTCCTAGGACTGCCTCACCAGTTCCTGCTCCTCAGAGAGAATGCATCTGATTTCAAATCAGGTACAACTACCGCTCTTGAAGATTTAAAGTAGAGGAATCCCAGGGACCTCTGAAGAGGCCGTCACCTTCTTTGTAGGAGAAGGCTTCCTTTGGGGGGGTAAGGGGACGGGAAGATGTTGGTCTTCCATCATCTCATCACAGAGGCCACTTAAGGAGGAAGGGAACCACAGGACCAAAAGCCCCAAGGTACCCAGTACATGTATGGAGGACAACTGGGTAAAATTTTAATTTTGGAACTGTCCAGGCTGACAACTGAGGTTCCAAAAGTTTTCCTGTACCTAAACCAAGTTCCCTTTGAGGTGGAGCTGCAGCAGACTGGGAAAGTACCTGGTCTTCTCAGTTCCAGGAAATCTACAGCACCAATCTTGGAAAAGGGAGGAACCATGGATCCAACGATGGCTCCTCCATATGACAACCTGGAGCAGATTCATTGTGGGATAACTTGCCAGAGCATCTCTTTCTCTCACAGTACAGCTTTTTAGAATGATCAGTGCCAGAAGATGTGCCTTCTTTGGCTCCATCTGAAGAATTCAGGTCTTTAGCTGGGGGAATGTGCTTCATCAGCCTGGGATTTTGTGGTAGGCATTAGCACTAAGGAAGACTTATTGTCCATATTACTTGTGCCTGGGAAGACTTTAGGGGAAGGTCTATCAGACTCTTGCATTACCAAAGCCTCTTGCAGCAGCAGATTCTAGAGTACAATCTTATGGTACTTTGGGACCTTTTCATGCCTATCTGAAGTACAGAACTTTGTGAGATAAGAGGAATCTCTTTTAAATCCCATTCTTTTAGATGGGCCTCCCATTGTAAGTAAGGCCGAAGGAGATCTAATATATATTAAAAAAAAAAAAGACAAGTGAAAAAAACCCTTAAGCCTAATCTGACAATGCAACTATTTACAACTAGATTTGCATGTATAAGATTAGAGAAAAGGAAGAGTTTGGCTCTGTCACTGCTCCAGGTGGCAGACTGTGGAATTTGAAGGAGGAGGATATTTATACGTGCGGTCTGTGGAACGTTGGGCTTGAGGAAACTGAGTGCATCCCATAACTGCCATCTGCTGTCTGAAAAGCTTCCATGATTAGGCATGTGACTTCTACACTGGGGCTCTGTATAGGTAATGTCATGAAGAACGTAGAGGCACAGTATGATGATTGGTGTGGAGAGGAGGTAGTGGGGGGGCCTTCCTGTTTATTACCTCCAGTTCCTGTGTGTTTCCTGATTCCTGAACTCAGTGTTCCAGTTCCTGTTTGTTTGTGTGTGTATGTAGTGTTGGGTGTGATAGGCTGAAGACAATGGAAAAACCTTAACATGAAAATAGGATGTTTTCCAGTCTGAGTGATGAATGCTTAAATATAATGAATTCCTGGTGTTTAAATAATATATAATGAGGTACTGTATGACAGATATAACCACTGTATTTTTACTGTTGCCTTTATTGTCTACATTCATAGATACGGCATAGTAAAGGCTACACAGCAGCTGCCTTCTATTCCTCAAGACTCACAATCTATTGAATTAAAACAAAGCCTTCACTATTACCAAAATAGTATGCAAATTACGATGCTATTAGCATAGATGCTAAAATTATGATACTACTGACAGAGGGGATTTAGTGACTTTTTAAAATTCACCTCTGTTGGACATCAGCTTCAGAAAAGGTAGAGCAATGAGAAGACATACTTGTTATTGTTGCTTTTAGAACATGTATGAGAAAAATGAGCAGACTGCAGACTTGCTCAGCAAATATCAGAGTAAAAAACTGCTCTAAATACAGAAAAACACCTGGCAGATCATGTTTCCATATAGCAATTTTTGTTGTTTTCCTTTTTATTATAAATCTCTGGATCTGTAAACGATGGATGAAAATCCTGGGTTCAAGAGACAGTATCTTGGTGTAAATCAAATTACACACAAATGACTACATTAAAAGAATGTTAAAGTAGCAAAGTCAAGCACTCAAAAGTTAGGAAAAGCCAGAATTAAGGTTAATTTGGCCCCCTTCTGTGTATCTAGTATGATACAATGTTTAATTACCTGATCAAACATCATTTCCACAGGACCTCTGCCTCAAACAGTGAATATGATAGCAACTCAATATTTTATTTCATCCTCATTTTTCAATGTGTGCCACTTCCTCTCCTCCCCCCCTTACTTACTGCACACTATTCAAACCCTGGCTCTGAATACACAATTACTTATTTCTTCATGAAGTTTTCTATGTTGCTAATCACTATATTATCTGAGTATTTCACAAACATTAATTTAATTTAACTTAATTTCACAGCCTCCCTGCGAGATGAGGGAGTGGTATTACCCCCTATTTTACACATGGGGTACTGAGGAACAGAATGATTAAGGTCAGAAGTATCCACTAATTTTGAATGCCCATTTACGTATCTAGGATCTGATTTGTCAAAGCATTATATAGCAGTTTATACATTCAAAGAACACCTTCTGTTGTCTTCTGAGAGTGATCAGTACTTCCACAAATCAGGCCCTATGGTCTCATTTTGGGCCTCCAGAAAATAAGGAACACACAATTAGTGACAAACTGTGAAAAGTTTGGTCTAAATGACTTGATCTACCACCACACTGGAACTCCGACAGAGGCAGGGATAGAATCCCATTCTCTAGGACAGCATTCAACATCCTTAACCATGAAACTATCCTTTCTCTTCCTGCTATCCCCTGCCTCATTCACTACATCAATTCCAACTTCCACAACAAATGGAGTCCTACAGACAACAGTATCCTTTACTACACAACACTGAATCATCCCCAGAGCAGGTCCACCCTGTGCACTGAATGCAGCAGGTGTCCTGTGGAAAAAATAGTATGTGATCATATAATTAGACTGTATCATAATACATATGCACAAGGCAGCTAAATCAAGGTTGCACAGGCAACCATGATTCTCGCATTTTCTAGCTTTTGTATGCTTGACTTTGCAACCTTAAAACATTCTTTTAATACACACCCCTCTCTCCTCACCCTCACTCCCAAGCTCCTCATCTGATCTCTGTGTCACCCAATCCTGTCTCGGTCTCCCTCCCTCAAAGGCTTTTTGTCCCAATCTCCTAGTCCTGCCTGCCCCCTCACCTACTTATCTGATGTCACCCCCCAACTGCCAAACTGGCTCCTAAGTCTTCCTTCCTTCCTTCCTTCCTTCCTTCCAGTCTCTCCCCCTTCCAACGGATTCTCAAGGAGCAGAATTAGAGAACATGATGGTAAAAACCACTGGTCAATCTGCCTTATCATTTCTAGCGTTGCTAGCAATGGCTGAGGTGCACTGGTGCTACAGCAACTTTGGGAGAAATGCCTAAAATTCTCAGTGAAGATGGAACCTTTGGTAGACTGGGAGGAGAACTTTTAGATTTTAAATTAGCACCTAATTAAAATAAAAACAGGTTCACACATTTGTTGCAGCTATAGAACTAAAATGTCAGAAATGCATGAACTTGCATACAAAATTACTCTCTCCCACACCTTAACTGAAAGCTTGACTTTTGGAAAATACAATAACTTTTAAATACACTGTAAATACTCAGATCTCAATTGTCACAGAAAAGAACAAAATTTTAAGTTAAAAATAATTACATACCAGGACTGAAGAGGACGATTGCTTTCAGATAAGCATATTCATACCCATCTAGGCAAAGCTTAACCATACTGTTACAGAACTCTTGCAGTTTGAAGATATGCTCCATCACTAGTTTTCCTCTATCTGTAGACAGCTTATCTAGATTAGTACAAAAAATTGCAGAATGGATTTTTCTGGATAAATTTACTCCTGATTCTAAACGATTCATACAGCTGGTAATATGAATCCATATTCTTCTTCTGAAGGAAAAAACTACAGGCCAATGTATATTAATTATAATTATATTATATTATATTATATTATATTATATTATATTATATTATATATTATATTAACACACTTCATGATTTGTCTGATAATCCTACTAAGGAGTCCAATGAACAGAGGTGGACTGGCACCTGAAATATTAATCACCAGAAGGGGGAAGAAGATTACATACTAGTAAATGGAATTCCCTGAATGTATTACACCCCTGCAGATGTACTCCATAAGAGTCATGTACCATGCTCACTCATCACAGAAGCGTTAGCAGCACCAAATCTATTAAAGAGCACTCCTTCCATTTTAGGATCCAAATGTTCTAGAATCAAAGTCTGTAAAAGGATCCACCCCATGCCTGTCTTAGCTGTATTCCTAAACTATCATTTTAAATACATGACTGCACTGGGAAAGGTTTTTTGGATAGTAGCATGATTACTTTCCCCTTTTAAAAAGTGAGATGAGTCAATTTTTAGGAATCCAAACCAAGCGGCTAGGTGAAGACATACAAAACATTCAAGATCTGGATAGAAAAATCTTGCCCGATTTAGGGGTATGAGAGCTAACACTACTAGAAGGAATACACCTCTGCCCCGATATAACACTGTCCTCGAGAGCCAAAAAATCTTACCGTGTTATAGGTGAAACCATGTTATATTGAATTTGATCCACCGGAGCGCACAGCGCCGCCCCCCCAGAGCGCTGCTTTACTGCGTTATATCCGAATTTGTGTTATATTGGGTCGCGTTATATCTGGGTAGAGGTGTATAAGGAATTCTCTGGAGAGGTCTATGAGTTTAATACCACAAGAGCCAGGCCCATGCTAGAACAATTAAAGTAACTTGAGCCCCAATCTAACTATTATAACTGTAAAACAATTAAAGCAAATCTATTTCTTTTTAGACATATAGAAAAATCATAGAATAAATTAATTGGAGATATCCTATCTCCTAAAACTGGAAGGGACCTTGAAAGGTCATCGAGTCCAGCCCCCTGCCTTCACTAGCAGGATCAAGTACTGATTTTTCCCCAGATCCCCAAGTGGCCCCCTCAAGGATTGAACTCACAACCCTGGGTTTAGCAGGCCAATGCTCAAACCACTGAGCTATCCCTCCCCCCCATGGTGATGAAGAACAAAGTATCAAAGACTGAGATGCTATGTGTATCTCACAAGCAATTACAGTCCTGTTAATTTTTTTTTTTTAGTAGAGTTGAACAACAAATATCATGGAACAAGATGTTTCAATATAAGGGGCTTATACCTGATACCTCTGAGGGTACATCTACACTACAAACCCACCATGTAATTACTGCAGTGGTGCAGGTCCACACTACCCTCCTTGGGTCAGTGGTGCACATCCTCACCTGGAGCGCTTCCATTGACCTACGAGGGGCAGTGTGGGGAGTTCAGAGCCCGGTCTCTCAGCTTTGCTGGCGGCTCCCTGCCATGAGCCTGACTGAGCCACAGGCTCCCTGCGGGAAGCCCCGTCCTTGCTCCCCGTTCCCTGTCAGGAGTGGGAGGAAGTCGCCTGGAGCGTCTTGTCCCTCCCTGCCCCATTCCCCACCAGTAGCAGGGGAAAGCCGTCCAGGACTTCTTGCCATCGGGGAGTGGAGTCCAGCTGCCCTGGTTTCTCAGCCCCCTCCCGCCACACACACCTGGAGCTGGGCAACCTTGTTTCACGGCTCACCTGGGCTTCTCACCCCAGATCCTAGCTGGGAGTACGGTCCAGCCGCCCAGCTCTCTAGGGCAGCAGGTGCTTTCTTGTCAATTTCACAGCTTCTGCCCTGAAACTGACAAGAATGCCGATGTAAGGGATGCAGTGTCTACACAGATACTGCATGGCCCAAACTACACCGACATAAGCCTTACACCTCTCCTGGAGGTAGAGTTGTTATGCTGCTGTAGTAGAGCACCTACATTGGTGGGAGGAAGGCTGCAGTGTAGACATTGACATAATTAGACCAACATAAGCTGCCTTATGTTGACTTAACTGTGTAGTACAGACCAGCCCTGAAGGATATAAGATTTTTGCAGGTAAAGCAAAGATCTCTTTTTAAGAATTTTTTGGGGGGGAAGTTTTTCAAAAATTGGTGCCTAAATTTGATTTTCTGAGTAAATACCCTGAGGCTTGGTCTACACTAAACCCCCAAATCGAACTAAGATACGCAACTTCAGCTACGTGAATAACGTAGCTGAAGTTCGAAGTACCTTAGTTCGAACTTACCTCGGTCCACATGCGGCAGGCAGGCTCCCCCGTCGACTCCGCGGTACTCCTCTCGCCGAGCTGGAGTACCGCAGTGGACGGCAAGCACTTCCGGGTTCGACTTATCGCGTCCAGACAAAGACGCGATAAGTCGAACCCAGAAGTTCGATTGCCAGCCGCCGAACTAGCGGCTGGGTATAGACGTACCCTGATTTTCAAAATTCGTGAGTATCTAGCAGCTTCCCCTGAAATCAATGAAGGCCACTGGATGCACAGCAATTTTTAGAGTCAGGCCTCTCGTTTAGGACCCTAACCGTAGGCACTAATTTTTGAAAACTCTAGCCTTAAGAATTTCCCTTTTTTCTGCTGTAATCTTCCATGGAGCAAGATGAAGGGGATGTGCTTTGCTTCATTCCAGAGACCTCCACTCATTAAATAATTCAGTCAACTCAGGTGTCACTTTCTTTACCTTATTCTTTTGTTGTTGTTACTGCAACTCACCTAAAGGCCTAAGGTCACCTCCAACCTCCCAGAACAAGAAAAGAAAGACTGAAATTGGTGGGTTCTTAAGAACTGCTATTCTTCTCATAGAGTCTAAAGTAGCTCCTATAAGTGTTAGGACCTGTCTGTCTC